TTGACATATTTAAACATATATAATAACATAAACATATTTTTAATGAATTTTTAATGAAAAAAAATCTACTTTCTGCTTAAAAACTGTATTTTAATATTGTTAATTTATGGAATAAACTCAAAAGACAACCTTAAAAGATGCAGGGTACCTATTAGCAACATAGTGACAGTCGGTTTTTTTGTTGTTTAGTCGACAGTCGTTCTATTGTAAAAGTAAAGATTTGTGAACTTTTTTTTCAAGACTTTTATTGTGAAACATTTGTAAAATAAATTTGTGATCAAACTTTAGCTGTTGTCTGCATAAGGAAATATGGTAGCTTCAGGGCTGACATTAACATCTAACAACTAGTTACTGATTTACACATTATTTCACCAAAACAGAAAAAAAAACTCTAAAAGAAAGAATATGGGAGACATGGGTTGATATGCCTTACATTTTTAAAGAATAATACTAATAAAAACACATAAAATCATGTGGTTAGACTAACATGTTGAGAGAACAAACAGGACACCTTGTTTTTGAAAGCTGGAATCAGGACAATGGTAAAATATTGATAAAGGTGGAATCAGTTTTTATCCTGACACCCAGACACCTGACAGCTCATATAAAGACAGGACTTTTAGACATTCCACAACAATTTCATACAGTTCTGATGAGAGTGGGCTAATGTTAATGTGTAGGCTTCACCATAGTTTCAAAAGCCTAAACGAAAGAAGAGAACACTTTGAATGGCAAATATGGAGGAAAATGGTTGATGCGCTCAGATACACACCTGCCTGGTGGGGAGAACATAGGTATGATTTAAATCTTTAACAAGCTTTCTTAACCTGTTGTGCTCCCCGGTAGTGATGGGCTATTGGAACAAGGCCTCATTCACATCATTCTTTTTCCCTGATGTACAAAAATGCTATTTTTTTTTGTCCAGTTGCTTGGTTGTAAAAAAAAAAAACAAAAAAAAAAAACACCATGTGATGAGAGAGTGGCTGTCTGAAACTGTTCATACAAAAATGTGTGATTGAGAGGCCATCAGCCAGTTAGCAAACAAAATAAACCTGATATTCCTCCTTTTCCAATATTGTAAGACCAAGTTTACAGACCATAATTAAATTATTCAGTATGACCCAAAGTGAGCGACTAAGTCCATAAACTCAGGAGCAAAGTGTTTTGGAGTTCATTTTAGAAAGCTGTTTTCACGCTAACCTCTATAGGACCAGAAGTCTTCTTTTTCATCTATTGCTATCTGGTGTTTTTCATGTTAATGCAGCTTTAAGACACTTCTGCACTGGCTTCGGTTTTCAGACTTGGATGCTTTGCTCATGTTTTATACTGTCTATTTGCAGTGCCCTCTCATCCAAATATATTCACTTCTTGTTCCCAAAAAGCCTCAGACGTTCTTATTTTCACTGCACTGAAGGTTTATTATTTGATGAAGCCAACAGGAACACATCTGAATATGAGCAAAAATCAGACTTTAGCTTAAAAGCCATCTTGTTGTTGGGCTTCTTCTTGATCCCACCTGTGTTTGTTCTGTTGAAATCCCATTCTAGTTGTTAAATCTCCCAATTCTTTAATCTTTGGGCTGAATGAAGAACAACACTTGGTGTATAAATGCTCAATTCACACTCTCTTTATTCCATACAATCCTCATTATTCCATACAACATCCACATTCTTTCTCTCTCTCAGTGACCCTAAGTTATGACCTTGGCTTCCTGTGCAGTATGTTCTGTTCTTTCTAATCAGACAAATAAGGCCATGATTCTCTGAAAACAGTATTTCTTATACCTCAGCAGTTTAATGCATCATATACAATGTAATTCATTCACAGTAAATCAGCAGTCTAATGCAGGGGTCCCCAATCCCAGTCCACGAGGGCCTTTGTCCCTGCAGGTTTTAGATCTCACTCTGGGTCAACACACCTGAATCACATGATTAGTTCATTACCAGGCCTCTG